AATGCCCGCCTTGCCAAATCTTCCAATTTCTCAAAGTAAGCCAGCTATTTACACATAAGCTCCCACCTTTAAACGTTGGTGACTAAAATAGCAAAACACCAGGCAGGCCAAAATGCCTGTCAGGCCACTTGTGTGCGAATTCAAGAAGACTTCAGTGAGTGTTAGTTACCCCCACGTTTATGTCCTGGGGAATCTCAGGGGTCGCTAACGGCCTGACAACTCATTTGGACTAATTCTGTTAGGAAGCACTAGAGCCCTTGAATCTCACATGCCTAAGGTGTAAAAACAACGGCAAGACAAATGTTAAGATTTTGGTTTTAAACACCATGTCATCTACACCAGCGCCTGCCCTTACCACCCCAGCACCAATCGGGTATGAATATGTGCTTCTGTAGTGGACACTTAGTATATGCATTAAATGATAAGAAGACAGATTCAAATGGGTAAGTTCCAAACGTGTTGGTGACCGTGTTATTTCCCTCTAAGGACAGGAGTCGATCTTAAAGGGACAGGCACAGCCAGCCTTTTGCGCCTTACCTGGCTTTGCTTACACCACCCTGGGAAGCTAAAGCACAGGGCACGTCTGTCACTTGCTTTGCTCGTCTTTTCGTGCATTCTTTACAACAAGTGGGTCCCGCTTCTAGAGCCTGAGGCTCGCCGCGGGCAGGACGGCGGCAGCGGGACCCCGGGCGGCAGGCCCCGCCTTCCTTCCCAGCAGCGCATTCTCTTCCCTTTCCTAGTCTTTCTTAAAGGGGCAAGAGGTGCGAAAGAAGGGAACGTCAGGTTCTGATTTCTAAAATATTCGTTATGGAACTGTTTATGACACTGTGCCAATCACATTTCTAGACACTAGGCATAGAGTGCTTTGCAAAATAGTGTATACGCCCTTTATGACGCTACGTCGAACTGCCATTAAACCATAACGTAAGCCCTTCTTTTCATAATAATTTTAGTAAATGTACAATCTAAATCGATTTGCAACCTAAGTCAGTCAAGTTCTGGACTCATATGTCCATCTTCCAACTAGACTTCAGACATCCCGCCAGTCCCTCAACTCAACACATTCCAAAATTAACTCACCATCTCACCTGACGACAATTAAAACCTGAACCTGCACAGCAAAGGGGGGTGGGGGGAAGTTGCCCTAAACCAAGAACTAGGCAAACCTTGTTTCTGCTTCTGACTTGGTAGTTTGAGAAATAAACTGGAAGCCACCTGTTCAAAATTAGAACTTGTTGCTTGGGGTCTCTGCTTCTTCCTTCTTTAAGTGGGGTTCCTGCTTTCCCCGTAAACTGGAACTTCTAGGAACTACTACAAGGGAATGAAACTTTGTCATTCCAATTAACAGCCCAAGATGTATCCTTATGATTTGCTTCTTAGATAAGTGGTATATTTATTTCTGATAGGCAATACACCTGGCATTTCAGTATTCTGCCCTAGATTTCCTCTATAATAACCAAAATGGTGTTTTTATGACTGTGAATAAAGCTGTGTTCATTAAGTTACTAGCTGCTTTCCAAAAATTAGCTGCCAGTGTAAATTTTTGTTTTCTCAACTATAACTCCTCATTTCTATACACTCACCATTCTCTTGCTAGCAATAAACCGTAATACATGTTTAAATCAATTTGTCTAAGAATTGTGGTTTTTGACCAGCTTCTGTGTTCTATCCCAGTGAATGGCAAAAACATCCCAATTATTGCCCAAGAACCCAGAGAGGGGAGGCAAGTCTAACATTTCTACAAAAGAGGGTTTTTGTTGAAAATCTTGATGCTCATCATTAAAGATGCATTTAATTATGTGAAGACACCTTATCCAAAACTCGGAACTAGGCTAAAGCAATTGCTACATGTCCTTTCCCCTCATTTATAGTTTTAAAATTGATCCACTTCTTTCCATCCCTTCTGCCATTGCCTTAGCCCGGCCTTAAGATCGCTTGCCTGAATTGCTGTAACTGGTTTCCCTCTCCAAATATGCCTTCCTCTAACCTATTCTTTATACTGCAGCTTAGTTTTTTCCTAATTTACATTTTCATAGTTCAGAAAAGGCCTTACATTCCTATAGTACCACATAAGCCATGAAAAACAGACACCTGGATTTTCTTTTCTGTTGTTGTTTGGTGTTGACGTGTTATTTTTTAATTGAAAGAAATTTTTAAATTGCTTTTATCAAAATTGACCTAAATGCAACCAAGCAGACTTATCAACTGATAACAATTTGAAGTATTCTGACCTTGCGATTTTTGCCTTTAAATATCTGTCTGCATTTTTGTTCAGAAAGCCGGTTTTCTAATAACTGGTCTGTCTTGCAAGTGTAAGTAAAAAAAAATATATATTATTCCATACAAAATTTACCTTTAAAGACAAATTTAAAGGTTTTTTTTCTTTAATTTTTTTTTAGACAGGTTATTCAATTATACTTATTAGCTGTATGACCTCAGGTACATTATTAAACTTTTATAATGAAGGAGATCAGGCTATGCTACCTCCAAATATGCCACTTTTGCATAAGAATTATTTTGAGCTCAAGGCATTTGAGGTCCTGAAATCCCTTATCTGCCTAAAGCAGGGCCTTCCAAAAGAGCTCAACTGTCATAACCCCCTATTCAGGAGCAACTCTTATCTTCTTGACTTAAGTAGACAGCACATCCAAACAGATATCTATCATATCGCCCATGTATTCTCCTAAGGGAGAATTTATCTTATTCTTCATTTATCTTTTCAAAAAGTGCCCTTTCTCTTATTCCCCATTACCTAATAAGTTAGGTATATAAACTCCACCATCGAGTTACTCATCACTGAATTCTCCTGCATATATGTGTGCTGCATGTGTAAATTCTGTTTTTTTCCCTCATTAATCTTTTGTCGATTTAATTCACATGCCCCAAACACTGAATATAAGAGGACAGAGGAAAATTTCTCCTCCTTTATACTAGGAATCAGTTATCTTGTCTATAAAATAGTGATGATAATAATAATAATAATGTATGGAGAGAATTTAATGAGGTAAAAGTAAAGAGCTTAGCACAGTTCCTGGCATATAGTGGATGCTTTTTAAGTGCACTATGACTATGATTATTATTGGGAATATGGAGATTGTGTTGATTGAGGAGCAAGACTGGAGGCTGAAGATCAGGTTTTCAGTTATGAATGAGAGGCTCAGATTTGAATTTTAGAAAAATGTTTTAAGCTGCCGGTAGCAAATGGTTTAGAGAGAGGCAAGACTGAAGACAGGGGAATCACCAGTTCAAGGATATTGTGGTAAACCAAGTAAGCAATAATGAGGATCAGAGCTAAGGCAATTGCAGCAGGGATGGAAAGAATTATACACATCTGAAAATGACAGGAAAAGCTATTAGCAGAACTTAAAGACTAACTATGCTTACTTAACCATAATTATAGACAACTTAAGAGCAAAATGTCAGTTTTTCTTTCTCAACTCAACATACCTGTGCTCTTAGTCACCATGCTATCTGATCATGTTCTCCCTTGTTTAAAATCCTCTGTGGCCCCCAGGCCTTCAATATCAGACCTAAATTCCTGATCACAGCGTCCCCGGCTATTAGTGATCAGTGTCTAGTTACCTATCCTCTCTTGTTTCAAAACCTTCCTCCTCTCCTCTATAATTTGCTTTTCTTGCACAGGACCTGTTCTCTCACCCTAGGCCTTGCTAAAGACAAACATACAACCCCTCCTCACTGTCCCTAACCACCTCTATAGACTTCAGAACAAAGCTCAGGCTTAAGGTCTTCTGAAAAGCCTTCCCCGGCACACACACTGATCTTGACATTTTCTTAGCTTCCTATGGTTATATCTAACAAGACTATCTCACAGAACTGTCATTATCTGGCCCCTAGACTGGACTTTAAAGCAAACCATCTCATTCCTCTTTTATCTTCTGGCACAGTTGGACACTCAACAAATTCTGTTAAATGAAAGAAAAGCAAATGAGTAAATTCACAAATATCACACCGGTGTCTCATTAAATTTTAACAGCTTTATTGAAGTATAACTGACATACAATAAACTTCATAAATTTAAATTTATGTTTTGATATATGTGTACACTCATGAAACCATCATCAGTATAAAGATAGTGAACGTATTTAATGTTGCGTGTTACCACTCCATCATGTCCTTTCCCACATCCCCCCAACCCCAAGCAGCCACTGATTTGTTTTCTGTCACCATAGATTAGTTTGCATTTTCTATATTTTTATGTAAATGCAACCATACAGTAGGTATTTTTGTCTTTTCTTTCACTCAACATGATTATTTTGAGATCTATCCATGTAGTTTGTGCATTAATAGTTCACTCCTTTTTATTGCTAAGTAGTATTCCATTGTGTGTGTGTGTGTGTGTGTGTGTGTGTGTGTGTGTGTGTGTGTGTATAATTATTTACTATTTATCTATTGATGGGCATTTAGGGTTGGGGTTTTTTTTATTTTGTTTTAGAGGATTTTTTGCTATTACAAATAAAGTTGATATGAACATTTGTGTACAGTCTTTCTATGGACCTATGCTTTCTTTTCCAGTGGGCAAATACTTAGGAGTGGAATGGCAAGATTATATGGCGGTGCGATCAATTGCAAACCCAAAACAGTTGTCATTTTACATTCTTACCATCAGAGTAAGAGAATTCCAGTTCCTCCACATCCTCACCAACACTTGTTATTGTCTGTCTTTTCTGATTATAGCCATCTTAGTAGGTGTGAAGCTATATATCTCAGTTATCTCATCGTGGTTTTAATTTGCATTTCTCCAATGACTAACAATGTTTAAGCATCTTTTCATGGGCCTATTTGCCATCCTTTCATCTTCTATTCAAATTGTATCTCATTTTAAATCCAAATTGCTGCATTATTTTTCTGATCTTACATAATTTAAGTACATTAAAACTAAGGGCTTTGTATCTATGTTTTTCCTAAGTACTGGGAGAATAATTCAATAAAGCTAATGGAACTATCTGGAATGATGAGAAAAAAATAACTTCCCTTGACACTTTTGGAGAATATTATTTATAAACATAACGTAATTTATAAATGTTTATAAATATAAATTCTAAATAAATTTGTAAATATATTTCTAATAAAATATTACCACTTCAATTAGTTTTAAAGTCAGCCTTGAGAAAAAAACAACAAATAAATTGTACCATTTCAATTAGTTTTAAAGTCAACCTTGAGAGGCAAACAACAAATAAATTGTACCCAAGCAAGTTTGATTTGCCTCTGCAGTCCCAGAATGTGTTCTCAGATTTTTGAATGAAGTTTGAAGTTTTGAGTTTTCTAGAGCTTCAGCTTCCTTCTAGCTTCTCTCTCCACCAAACTGCCCTTGCAACAAATCAATGCACATCTGTGTGAATTTGTAGGTTTCCTCCTTTTGGTTTCTTATCTACTGTTTGCAGTTGATGTTCCTTCAGTTAGTCATCAAGCAAACTTATAAACGCAGGTCCCTGTGTTTTTAAATTTGCGTTTCCCTATGACTTACTTCCAAATGCTTACTGAAAGCTGGAGTTTTGTCTATTTTATTTATTGCTTTATTTCCTGCATGTTAGAACAAGGTGACACTCAAACTAAGACAACAAATAGTATTTTTAAATGAATTAGTAAATAATTTACTGTAAGAAATAAACAAATTAGAGTAGATTCAAGATTATCTCTTGATAATAAGACAGAGAACATGCTCTCTGATTTGAAT